ATCCAGCCTGCGGGGTCGAATGAGTTGCCGACGCCTGGTTTAAGATAAAGGGTTAAAAAATTAGTGTTATCTTATCAGGGTTTTACTGCCTATCTCATTTTGGCTCATTTCCCAAAATATTTGCTGACCCTATAATAATCATGCTTAGCAGACCATTACTACTGGAGTGAGTTTAATCATCACTGTGTACTACATCAGTAAGTATCAATAGTTTTATTATATGGACCAGTAGTTCACAAGTTCATTTTGTACACCATTACTACTTAGGGAGTTTTATATGCTTTTAATATTTTCTTATTTAAAACTTATATCAGTCAATGTGGCTTCACTGAATTTCTGGTATTGTTATGCACATTTTGCAATAAAACAATATTATGATCCTATTCCAGTTTGATATAGAGATTTGACTCTAGTCTTATATAAAACTGCACAATTTCAAGATGAATATGATGGTGACAGAAGTTGAGATATACAATTTGTAGCAAATGAGTCGACTTCAACGGTGTAAGGGACGCAACTCTTCCCTCTGAAAATGTCTGACACGCTGCAACGCAAAGCCGTGTACACCAAACACGGGTGTAATGCCGTTCTGCCAATTTCTCCAAGCAACCTGCTTTTATGGAGCCCAGACACACCTCATTAGCGTGTGTGTAACGCGACTTTTGCGTGACTGCACGCAGACCGTGAATATTAAAAGTCACGGACGCTATCTTGGATCTTTTCTTTCCTTTCTCAACCCACAGGCCAGGCAGACATGAGGGCGTGCCAGAGGTAAACCATTTCTATTTTCCCCACACTCCCCTCTGATCTCATGATCACAGAGTTGACAGGAAGGGCGGCGATCGCAAGCCGGGTACTTCTTCGAAGAGGGGCGCTGCGAGCCTCATCGTTGCTTGTGCTCCTGTCCGAGGTCTGAGGGTCGAAAAACACCCGTCCCTTGGAAGGCTACTGATATCCGAGTCACTGCCTGATGGAGCTGGCGTGAACCAGAGCGATGCCTCACTGGTCACAGATTCCGATTCGCTCTCATCGTCCAGCGGTGGTTGCAACTGCGTCGCCGGACACAGGTCCTTAACGTGACAGGGCACACCGTCGACCTGTACCGCCTGTGGACTGATCACCTCAGTGACGCATCCGGTTCCGTATTTCGTTGTGCACTTGCTGTGCGGGTTTTTAATCCAGACGATATCGCCTTTCTTCAGCCTCTCTCCAGTTACTTTCAGTTCCGTCAGCGGGTTGGTCTCTATGCCCTTCACTCTGCCATGGTACCTATGCAATGTGTCTGCTGGCACCGTAGAGGGTGAGACATCATTCTTCGGGGTCACGTTGTATAAGTAGACCACCTCAGACACCGCGCAGCCCGTCCTGGCTGCGATGGTCTTGACGGTCCTGTGGTTCTTCGATGATTCCATTTCCACTTGCATGCGTGGGCGCAACAGAACCGTGGGGTGCACTCCCCAGCCATCCGCAAACCTTGCTCGCTGGTGAATGCGGTGCCGTTGTCAGTTAATATCTCCATTGGGGGCCACGTTCAAGGAAGATACTGTTTAACTGACGGATGATAGTGGCTGCATCTTGCCGGCGCAGCAGCCGCCATATCGCAAAACCTGGATGGACCGCAATCAATTAGTGTCAGGAAATCCTCGCCGTTGTGGTGAGTAACATCTATCGCCAGCCGGCTCCAGTGGCTCCTCACGCTCAGCTGCCCTTTCTTCCAGCAAATGGGTGCTGGGTCTATAGACTGGCACGCCACGCAGCTTCTGACCACTCTCCTGACGTCTGTCTTTTGTACTCCTGGGTCAACCAACTTGGCGAAATACAGTGTCCGCTTGACTCCAGGGTGCCCACTTTGTTGGTGGACTTCTTTGATTCGATTAAATCGAACGGGTCTCACGGACGCAGCACAGGCGGGTTGCACGGGCTCAATAGCTTTCTTAGCGGCGTCAAGCCACCTTTGGGACACCCTCGTTAAACAATCTGCTTTGTTGAGGCTAGATTTGACCAGGGACACCTCCATTGTTATTGCGTACTCTTGCACTAGCTTCATGATCGTGTCGAGCCATCGTCGGATAAGCATCTCGCTGGTGGCTTTAGTCCGCACCTGGCCCTCCCAGTCAGGGTATCAGAGATCCACTTATAAATGCAAGCGGAATCGGTGAACAGACGCAGGGTGGTCGACTTCAGAGGATCGCCAAGTTGATCCCCTTGATGACAGCATCGAGCTCCGCTTAGGTTTATGTGCTGGGAGTCCCTTTCTGGGACGTAACCAGCAAGCATCTTCCACCACGGCTCCATCATGAACTATCGACGCCCGGTTGCAAGAGAGCTTGCGTCAACCCCACACCGAGGTCTTGGCTGTCAACGCACCATCTGCCCCGCTGGGTCTTCCTTCGCGTGCTCTGGCGAGGACCTCCCTCATCATGGTGTTGAGAGGGCGTCGTGAAATTCGTCATCCCATCCAGTGGTGACGTCAGATGCTCTCCGCTGATAAACGCCACCGCAACACGCATCCAGCCACCTACAGGAAGGTGCCCAACTAACTTGCCGCACAAGAAAATATGCTTCACGGCGTGACAACGGGGGTATGTCTGGGAGTTCGTTTCCCGTTTCCAATACAGAATGTCATCTTCTCCCCAGACCTGCAAACCAATCACCCGTGCACCATCCTGTAGCCTCTCCGGTTCCTTGCTGAGGAGGCCAAAGTTGTAGAGATGCTCCTTCACACGCGCGCCAGATATGACTCCTTCGTTCACACATACGTCATCAATATATGCAGATGTTGCCCGCTGTATCGCTCATCCTTCGTCAGAATGGCGTCAACAATCATCTGCATAATCGATGGCGCCACATTGAGTCCAAACCCCATGTGGGTCAGGCAATACCTTTGCCCCTTGATAAGCACAGTTTGATAGGGCCACAGTGATTGGTGCACACGCACTTGAAGGTATGCCTTGCGAAGATCCAGCACAGATACATTTGATCCTGCTTGTCGCCATTCCCTTAGCTTCTCGGTACACACATCCGCGCGGGCTGTAAAAGGGTTCACGTGCTCGTTCAGTTCCCGATAGTCGAGCACCAGCCTCACCTTTTGTTTGTTGTGCTGGAGAACGGCCATTAGCGGGATCAGGCCCTTCGGGGGCCCCAATTCCTTCTCTGGATAAGGAACCAACGATCCGTTATTAATCCAGGCTCGCAACTCCTTGTCGTATTCCGCACAAGCTCGCGGGGGGGATTTTATACTCCGGCACACTGTTGTACAGCTTCTCTGGCGGTTGATCGTCTGACCATTTCCAAGATACCGTCCAGGACTTTGTGCGCCGGTCGAACTCCGCATGAAAGTCAGGCCGTTCCAGCTCCATTGCTGCACCTAGAGCAAGACCTGTTTCAGTGAAACGCGCCCGACCCTCTTTGTCAACATGGACACCACCCAAATTTTTGATGACGTCCATTCCCAAGAGCAGTTCATAACCGAGCAGCCCTCCGTCTACAACCAGGGCTTGTACAGCTACTGCAGGCCCATCGCTGATGCTTGCACGGATGACGCTCACTCCACAAGAGAATAGCGAGCCCCCGCCAACAGTCAGAACTGGAATATTTTCTACCGTCCCTCGTGTCACAACATGCCTTGCGCACAAGGGTCTGGGTGCACCGGTGTCAACAAGCGCCAAGCGCCACGCCCGATAATCCGCACGCTCACTGCGGGTAGTGCCTTGTTCAGCGGTGATCTGGGAGAAGACTGGCGCTGTAGCTTACTCCCCTTGCCCGTTTCCCGGACAGCTTCTTGCTACATGGCCCAGCTTGTCGCACCTGTAGCAACGCATACGTCTCCGTGTTCCTTGCGTATCCTTCGCACCGCTTCAGCAGTCTTTGGAGAAGTGGTTCAGTCCGCCACATTTATAGCACCTTATGTCCTCAGTTGGCGGTGCGGGTGCTTCCACAGCTGCTGAGACCGGCTCCGCGTTGTCCTTTAGAATATTCCGGGCTCTGGCCAGTAACTCGTCTAGCCCCAGCTCATTGAGCCTTGACGATGCTTGTAGCAGTCGACTTGCGTTGTCTGGGAGTCCTGCCAGAAAGGCGCATCCTAGGATTTGGTCGCTTGCTCCACCGAACGGTGCGGCCAGCTTCCTCAAATTGTCCAGAAAGACATCTACTGTTTCATCTGGTCCAAGCCGTCGTTCGGTAAACTGCCTCCAGGCGACAAAGGGGTCTGCACCAAATGCTGCGTATAGAGCTTGTTTTATTTTCTCCAAGTCTGCGTCATCCCTTAGCTGCTGATACACAGCGTAAGCTCCTTTGGTGAGCCTAAGAGGGATGACCAGTGCGGGATCTTTAATTTTACACAGCCAGCAGACCCGCTTGACCTTTTCCCACCACTCGACCACAGATGGCCCAGCGGGGGAGCCGTCGAACTCTGGTATCAACTTCAAGTCGAATCTGTCCATGTTGTAATAATGGCCGAAATAGCTTGTAGCAAATGAGTCGACTTCAACAGTGTAATGGACGCAACTCTTCCCTCTGAAAATGTCTGACACGCTGCAACGCAAAGCCGTGTACACCAAACACGGGTGTAATGCCGTTCTGCCAATTTCTCCAAGCAACCTGCTTTTATGGAGCCCAGACACACCTCATTAGCATGTGTGTAACGCGACTTTGCGTGACTGCACGAGACCGTGAATATTAAAAGTCACGGACGCCATCTTTCCTTTCTCAACCCACAGGCCAGGCAGACGCGAGAGCGTTTGTGAGGTAAACCATTTCTATTTTCCCTACACAATTAATTCTGAACAATTTCAAATTTAGAGTTGCACATTTTTTTTTTTTTTAAAGTTACACAACTTTCCACTGATACAAATCTTATCTTTTACTTTTGTAAATTAATTTAGGGTGTTCAAAAGTACTTCCTAATGGTGCATATTGAACAAAATAATATTTGTAGGAATTCTCTCACATTTTCAGAAATATGTCTCATACTTTTCTATCTCTCTCAAACCTATTAACAGTGTTTACTCCACAAATAGATGACTTGACATTTGATGACTTACAAACCAATACCTGCCTTGATTTTTCACCTGCCAACCCAACTTATGACTCAGCACCTAAAATCACACAAAGGTAATTGACTTTTTAAATTCTACTTGCCAAATCATTTTTCAAACCTAGATTCTCGCTTTTATTTTTATTTTGTGTGTGATGGATATTATTCTAGTGTTTGTATATGTGTGTACACACACTGACATACCAAATATCATGGATGGCATAGCAGCATGATAATTGGCTCCACTAAACCCCTTAATAACATGGAAATACTCAGATCATGCTGGTTGTGTTCTAACATAACGAGTCAGTGTGTACACTCTCTGAGCTACTCATAGCAAAATGGTTTGAATCTTCAAAGTCTGAACACCATATGATAATGAGTATCTGATGAATGGGATATTCTGAAAGTGTGGAAACATTTGACATTCCTCATTCTCATAGCTAATAGAAAGCATTACCACTCACACAGAGACTAACTCTAGGTTCTTAATTATCTTGATCAGAATCATCTGACTAGAATTGTCTACAGTAACAGATGAGCAACACTGGCTCAGATCACATTCAAGGCAGGAGGCACCAGCATCTGACAGCTTAGTTCAACATTCTTTAGCATCTTAAATAGGCTTGTGATATCACAAATTGAACCCTGGCGGACTAGCAATATGAGACATGGTCTGATGTGTCACAGTTTCAGTTCTTTTGGGCTGATGAGAGGATTTGGGGGATGGTGCCATCACCATTAAGCCATGGACAACAATTGTTATCATAGCGTTGTGCAGGCTGATGTGCAAGTGGATCTGATGATCCTCCTTATTTGACTGGTGATTGTTACATTGCACTTAAATTGCAGAAACATTTGCCACATTCATGGGAGCCATGTACCTCAACAACAATGGTTTATTCCAGCAGGATAATGTACCATCATTGTGCCGAAGTTGCCTAGAATTGGTTTGAGAAGCATTCTATGGACTTCTGATAATGTGGCCACCACATTTACCCAACATGAGCATAATCAAGTATTTATGGAATATGATGGATGGGTCTCTTTGCACAAAAAATCGTACACTTATAAATTTTAGGGAGCTGTGGATAACTGTTGAGATTTTGTCTCAATGGTCTTCCAACCATATGTGGAATTGATGCCCAATTAATAGGGGTATCATACATAACACTCTCTACCTATGTCTTTGGCACATGATGTGATGGTATTTCTAAAAAGATATTTTAGGTAATTAATATCCAATTATCAAATATGTCTTGGGAAGTTTTGTTAATATTTGAATATTTATTCACATTATCTTAAGAAACTTCAAAATATTAAAATCAGTTTCAACTTTTGGCAATTGATTACCTGTATGCTTTCAAAAGTTATCTTCATCTTTTATAACTTAAAATTTTCTTACATGCATATGGTTATTTTCAAATTTTTTATGCATTTCATATTGTAAATGATATAGTTCCTATCTTGACAATACTGACAATACTGAAATCTCTAAATAGCTATCTGGTTCTGATCAAGAAGCTTTATTTAAAATTCTAAAAGACATATTTATTATTTCCTTTGTTAGTTTTGATTAAAAAGTTTATGTATTCAAGTCTGTGTTAACAACATTCATTTTCTTGAATAATCACATTCATTCTTTTATCATTTTCTTGCTAATATGAAATGATTTTAATTCTGAAATATTTTTGTTTTAGGCAATTCATTTTCCAACAGAATGCCTCTACATCAAGGGTACTGCCCAAGTTAGGTATCAGTCTTGATGATTCCCAATTTTCTTGGACAAGTTCTTTGGCCACACCGCCAACTTACACAGCAGAAGGTTACTTTCACTTTTTCTTTTCCTTTTTCACTGCACGTGACAATAATGTGAGTCATTTGAAAGGAAAATTACTTCCTCTATTGGTTCCAACCAAGACAAATAGATACATTTTTCAGGGTCCCAGTTGTCAGGTTATAGTTCTTTCAGAAAAGAGTTAAGATTTGACATGTTATGTGAATCATGTTGTGAAAGTCTTTTTTTGCACAGGATACTTTTCATGTGTCATCTGGGTACCTAGAATAAATTTATTTTCACTCTCATATTTTTAGCTATTCTATTTTATTTTCATTTAAAACAATGGATTTTCATGTACCTAAATAATTCCAAAAGAATCTTGCTGGATTTATTTTATCCATAAAGTATAACATTTAGTAAGCAAGCAACAATTAAAAAGGAGACTACTTTGGTTTATTAAGTGTCATTAATGCTTCTCTTTTTAGTGCTAAACTGTAGATGTACACTTCTAAAATGATATTGATTATATCTCTTCTGCACGTTATTCTTAGTCAATTCTAAATTCATGATTGCTGTTTAATGACCTAAGGCATTGTGAACATTTCCAGGAGCTTTGAACAAAAAATAGATTACAAGTGCAGCAGAAATATTTATTACTCACATTTGTGAGTTGTTCCAATCAGAACAGAGATGATGATGATGATTATCAAAAAAAAAAACAAGTCAAAAATGCTCCTTGAAAAATTACCACATGCTGCATAAGCCTAAAAATAGCCAGAGAACATACCAGCTGCAATGTGATCACTACAAAAAGATACTTGAAGTAATTCCTAGAATACCTTTGATCATGTATTTCAAATTTGTTTCCTACATTTCAGATTCTGTATCGTAACACCGGCATTTTGGGGTGTGATGGCATCTCTATTGTCCAGTCTAAAGATAATATAATATTCCATAAATAAATATATAAATATAATATTCCAGTTTCTCTATTTTATCTTCTTCACCTACTTACTATTTTTGTTTCTATTGTAGGTGCTTTGCTGGATAAAGATGAGACTGAATTGCAGGAACAAATGACTAAATCAAAGACCTTGGCTCGTGCCTTGTTCTCTCCTGATAAAGAACAGTCCAGTTTGAATGGGGTTCTCCAGTTGTCCACAGATATTAACAATGCATTCAGAAACTGTGATAAAACACCATTAGCAGCTAACACCCAAAAGGCTTTATCACCAAACATACCATTTTCTCCAGTTTTATTTGAATCAAAAGATGACTGTACAATCTTGCCAATACATGAATCCAAAAGATGCCATAACAAAACCCTTTCAACATCATCATCATCATCATCATCCAGTGATCCACTTACAACAATTTCTGACAGAAAATTGCAACAAGATATGAACTCTGGTTCTGTTGATACCCCAGTGAGTCGGCCCAAGAGTGATAGTCAATTACATTCCATTTTATCAAAAAAGAAACATTTTAGCTCTACTCCAAAACATGTGCACTTTTCAGAGTTGCCTCCACTTGGATCCAGGTGTGATAAAAATACAAAGAATTTTAGTTCTGCTAACAAATTACGTCAACTTCGAGAATCTTCTACAAGTCTCTCAGACTTAACACTTACGACTATGCACTCACACTGTTTAAGTCATTCCTCTTCTCAGAAGACAGTCAGTGTAAATACAAAAATGAGTAATGTGGAAAGTGGTGAGGCAAATTGGAATGAAGATATTTTTCAAATGGCATCGTCTCAACCAGACAAAGGTACTTCCATTGTAGAAGCTCCACTTTCAGTAATTCTTAAAAAAGATCAAGACAACTTGCATGGATGTTCATCCACATTAGCAGCACCACAGAGAACATTGAACCCTGGTGTACATAAATCCCATCTCAACTCTAATTGTAAAACTGACCCCCAATCTCCTCACTGCTCTAAAGAGAAATCATCTGTTCATCCCGTCTTTGTTCAAAGTTTGGATATTAAACCAAATTTCCTTGATTCTTCAGAAAATGTGTCATCTATAGTTCCTAGCATAAGTCTAAACTGTAATTTTAGATCTCTTAATTCTTCAGAGTACGTATCTGCGGTTCCCAGTACCAATGAAAATCATAATGCTAATCCCAAATCTCTAGATTATGAAAGACTATCTTCTGTGGTTTCTGGTTGCAACAATCAAAGTTGTCAAATTAACCCAGTATCTAACACTTCTTCCCAATTCATATCTTCTGCAGACATCTCTGACAATTCTGAAACTGTGAAAAAGACAAATGATTTTCCTGAAGTCTGTTTACAAGAGCCAAATTCAGAAAACCTGACAGTTTCTCCTGCAAACAAAAATGGTAAAAATATCATATTTACGCAGTTATCTTCATCTTATAATGAAAAACTGATTAGCGAAGTTGATCAGATGTTAAAGAAAAACCTGCAAGGACAATCTGTCACCAAATATTCTCAGATGGAACATTACCATCAAACAGGGGGCAACATTTCTGAAGATAAGGGCTTGAATGTTGAATGCTCTTCATTGATTCTTGATGAAAAAATTAAGGTTTCATCACATAATCAAAAAGACACATCAGATCAGTACTTAGCATTTATGTCTCCCAAAAGCCCACTGGGTGAAGAGCCCGTTTCAGCCAAAGTAAATACCAGTCAGTCTAATCCTATCCATAACAACTCTGATACACTTACTTCCTCCTCATCTTCAACCCCTAAAACTGTCATATCCCTTTGTGGAAAATTCAGACGAAAGTCAAAGGTTTTCTTGTATCCCACAGCTAGTCAAATCAGTCACACATCTCCACTAATGGCTTTCAACTTTAAAGTACAAGATATGAATGTTCTGAAAAGTGCAGTCAAACCTAATATAACAATCTCTACACAACAAGACAACCAGGAAGTGTACTCCAAGAAATCCATTGAACAAGATCTTGGTAAACACATTTTGCTCTCATTTCAATCATTTTAAGATTAATTAAAAACCAATTGATTTTAATAAATACTAAAAAAGTTTGATTAAAAAATTTGAAGTTTATTTTCTTAGATAATCATTTTTAATGTGTGTTGGTATGTATTTAAATGAGTAACAAATATCTTTTTATGCACTGATTTGCCCTATGGAAGCATTTCGGGGTTTATAAATTATTCTTTCTTCATATTTATTTATTTTCCTTCTTTTAGAATCAGATACAAGTTCTTTGGTTCATAAAGATGCAGAATTATGTAACAAGTTTTCTGATGTTCACTCAATAACTGACAAACAGGTAATAATTTCCTTATTTATTTCGCATATTTTTTTGCATGTTCTTTCTTAAAATCTCTGATGTTTGTCATTGGGAATCACAAGACAGGAACTTTATTATGTTTATTATTCTTAATTTATTTGCTTTAATACCATTTTCAGTAGCCTCTGCTCAATTTACAGAAATATATATATATATATATTTTGAAAAAATGTATGTCAAAGAAAAAGTTTTCTTATGATGGATTTAATTAGACTAATTTTGTATTGTTTGTGCAACTATATATGTACATGATCAAGAGATGCTGAGAATTTTTAATTTCTTTTTTAATCTAGCTGATTTCATTTAGATTCTTTTTCTTTTCATCACTTTTGTTATTAGATATCCCACACAGATAATAGAAGTTCTGCCAGCAATGGTGAAATATTGTAAGAGCCAGGGTGCAAGTTTACTGTGGATGACCTTGCGATGAAGGCACTCTCTAGACATTTTCATTGTGGTGAATTGTTTGGGATATAACAAAAGTGATGGAAAGAAAAAGAATCTAAATGAACATTGGCTAGATGAAAAAAAAAAATTTAAATTCCCACATCCCTCGTTCATGCATGTGTATCACACTAACATAACAAATTTAACCTAATGAAGTCTTAAAGGGCAAAACACATCACAAGAAAAATTTTCCATTTTCCCCTGTGTGTGTGTGGGTGTCATTTCACCCCAAGGAAGGTTATAAGCCATTAAGATGCAATTGATTACTGAGAGTGAAAGAAACAAAACAATAAAAGAGCAAGGTTCAAAGAGTCAGAAGATGATTGACACTGCATTTTTGTTTTTTAATATCAAAGTTGACTGGAAAACAGGAGTAATTCCACAAGTAAGAAGTGTAGAAGAAATTATTAACATAGAACTTATGGTCACAACTAGCAATTTCAACAGTGAAATTATGAGACCTAATGACCAATCCACTACTGCACTTAAATTTGTGAAGTCAAGGTCACAAAGAAGAAAACTCATCGGAACAATTACCCTGAAAATATTTATAGTAAAGAGACAGAACCTTTGTTATGCCAGTAGGAAAGTGACTGAAGCCGAGATGCCAGGTTAGGACTGATAACATTCCAGATTCTTCTTTGGAAAATAATAATTTGCAAATAGTAAATGCTAATTATCACCAAGTCTAATTATTAGTAATTATTAATCATTAATTAAGTATTTTTATTGGTATATTTCTTTGGTTGAGAGAGAGTGCAGATCATTCAAAGATTCTTCCCTGCTAAGAAGACTTAATTATTAGGAGTTAACTCCTTTGAACAGATTTCCAATCTCTACTTGATTAATTAAAAATTACTGAGAAACCTCTTAGAGTTTATGTATTTTAACAGTATTGTGCTAACAGAATTATGGTGTGTTATTTTTAATTTATTCTAATATGCAAACTCATAAATTGGATCACATTATAATATAGATATCTATTTCACTTCATATAAATGTTTTCTGTGATATTATTTTTTGAGTATTATTAGTATTACTACTATGCATCTCTAAATTCACAAAAGAGATATCTGGTATCTTTTGCTGGGTATCAAATGACAGCAAGTTTCCTGAAATTTCCATCACATTCATTACCCTAACCCCCCAAACTTCTGTAGTCTGTATAATCTCCTAATTCTTATATGCAAACTGGAAGATGTAATGAAAAATTAAACAGTCACATCTTGTTGCCTCATTTAAATAAAACTGAAATAAGGAAACACGTGTGTGAGAGATGGAGAGAGATACCTAAGAGCTAAAACTTACTCAAACAAATTTTATGTTATATCATCAAATTCTACTTTTAAATATGATTGTAACTCTAGTGAATTTTATTCATTTATAGCTGCCTTGTGAACAACCTTAATCTTCTTCTATTAAGACCAGTATCCATCAAGTATGAACTAATACAAGCTCGGGGTTGTTGAAAATGTAAACTTTACCATCTAGAAATCTATTAGAAGTTAATATTTTGTAAACAATTTTCTAGAAAAGCATAGACCATTTTTAGAATTATTTTTCACTATATCTGTTCATATGCTAAATTATACTTTGTATGCTTTTAGTATATTCTGTAACATTAAACATTAAAGTGAATATTTTTTCTAGCATTTGTTTAATAGATTTTAACTATGATATCACAGGCTGCATAAACATTGTCATATATTTGCCTGTGTAATATATATATATATATATATATAAATGAATGAATGATACTGTTTCTTTTCATTTTAGCATGAAGGAATTCTTGAAAGCTGTTCTCAATTTGAAATAGCAGTAGATTCTGTCACCAATTCAATTCCTGTAGAATCTACAGGTAAACTATTTGAAGACACAAAAGTTGCTTTTTCTGACTATCAAAAACAGCAAGGAACTGAGTCAGTGCCTCTTTGCAAAGATTTTGTATATGAATTTGCACAACCCATTACTACTTCCCAAGGTTTTCCTACTTCTAATGCAATCAGCAATGTCAACAATCAATCACCTGTAAAGCTTAATCAGATATCAGCCTACAAAGACACAGAAATACACAGAAAAACAAAATTTTATAGATTCCAGTATATGCTCAAAAACATGGAATCTGAAGTTCTTAAAGTGAATGACTGTGAGACATCCAGAATTGAGCCTTTCAAAAGTGGGCCAAATTCTGAGACTTCCACACAACCAGCCCCATTTTCAGTAATTGAATTGAAAACTCCAGGTTTCTCCAAGAAGACAGAATGTAATCAACAAATTAACAGATCACCTAAGAAATTAGCTCTGGTTCCTGACTCCAACTTGAATCAGAATCTAAAAGAAGTAGGTAATACCACCAGAGACTCAACCACTGATCAAAATAACCAGGAGGTGTTAGAATTGAATTTGCTGACTGCCAGCCAAATGGTTAGGTGGGAAGAAATTGATAATTTTTCAGAAGAATTTACTGAAAATGATAGTTCTTGTTTAAATATACTGCACTGTCAGAATGAACAAGTTTGTCATCCTGACCCAGGAGAATACCAAGATAACAATAAATTAGAACCAAAAGAGGAGTCTACAGATTTGGCAAAAAGAGGCAAAGTTAAAGAAGAGAAAATTCAGAATTGCCAAAATGCTAACACTACCTCTAAGACTCAGCAGTACAGGCCATCTTATCAATCTTGTGGATTGTTATTTATTGACAATTGCAATGAAATAAAAGAGATGATTTCAGAAGAAGCATCTGTTACACTAGCAAAGAAAGAAAAAGAAAGTATTGAATATTTGGGGAAAGTATTGAACAATAAGGATTTATACCGAAGTTCTGTCAGTGCCTATTTTGATTCCCATGTCAAAGCAGGCAAAAATGTTTTGGAATGTTTCTGCGCTTCAGATGGTGCCCCAGTCAAAATCAGTGAAGGGAAACATTTGAGTGAAAGCAAAGTAGCAAAAAACATAGCTATAGACAATCATGATCAACTGATAACTGATTGCAAAACTGAGACACAGAAAATGGATAAGAAACTTTTCAATCAAACTAATTTCTTTCAACCAAATCTGGTTAATTCCATTTCCTTAAGTGAAGAAAAATCTATACAATCAGAAAACAAAATAGAAAGAAACAGCAATACAAATTTTTCAAATAATGATCCTAAAATTTCAAACTTAAAAATTAATCAAAATTTGACTGACCAAAACAAAGAAAGAACTCCAAATTTGAAAAATTCTAAAAGGCTGTACAAAGGTAGCCAACCATTCAAGGCACCGAGAATTTTGTCAAAGGGTTTAACAGATACAAAATCACCATTGCAACAGAGAGATATTGAAAAGAATAGTTCAAAAACATTTGATGAGAATCAAATATTAAAAGATTCAGAGAAAATAGATAATGAATTAGGAAAAATATATAATATGGGAGGATATTCAACTTCTAGTGAAAAGCAGATCCATAAGAAAGAAGAAAGCTTCAAAATTGCTCAAAACCTTCTCAGTGATGAATCAATCCAGGCTCAGTCCTGTGGAGGCTTTTCAACAGCAAAAGGAAAGCAGATCAATGTGAAAGAAGAAAGCCTGAAAAGGGCTCAAAACCTTCTTAGTGATGAATCACACCAGGCTCAGTCCTGTGGAGGCTTTTCAACTGCAAAAGGAAAGCAGATCAATGTGAAAGAAGAAAGCCTGAAAAGGGCTCAAAACCTTCTTAGTGATGAATCAATACAGGCTCAGTCCTGTGGAGGCTTTTCAACAGCAAAAGGAAAGCAGATCAATGTGAAAGAAGAAAACCTGAAGAAGGCTCAAAACCTTCTCAGTGATGAATCAATCCAGGCTCAGTCCTGTGGAGGCTTTTCAACTGCAAAAGGAAAGCAGATCAATGTAAAAGAAGAAAGCCTGAAAAGGGCTCAAAACCTTCTTAGTGATGAATCAATCCAGGCTCAGTCCTGTGGAGGCTTTTCAACTGCAAATGGAAAGCAGATCAATATGAAAGAAGAAAGCCTGAAGAAGGCTCAAAACCTTCTCAGTGATGAATCAATCCAGGCTCAGTCCTGTGGAGGCTTTTCAACTTCAAATGGAAAGCAGATCAATGTGAAAGAAGAAAGCCTGAAAAGGCCTCAAAACCTTCTCAGTGATGAATCAATCCAGGCTCAGTCCTGTGGAGGCTTTTCAACTGCAAAAGGAAAGCAGATCAATGTGAAAGAAGAAAACCTGAAGAAGGCTCAAAACCTTCTCAGTGATGAATCAATCCAGGCTCAGTCCTGTGGAGGCTTTTCAACTTCAAATGGAAAGCTGATCAATGTGAAAGAAGAAAGCCTGAAAAGGCCTCAAAACCTTCTCAGTGATGAATCGATCCAGGCTCAGTCCTGTGGAGGCTTTTCAACTGCAAATGGAAAGCAGATCAATGTGAAAGAAGAAAGCCTGAAGAAGGCTCAAAATCTTCTCAGTGATGAATCGGTTATTTCATCTTTGGTAGGATTTTCAACTGCCAGACATAAGAAAATTTCTATGAAAGAACCCCCTCAGAAGGCTGAAAAATTACCTTATGAAGCAAATGTTGAGCCATCGGTTAACTGTGCAAAATCCATTGATAGTTTTATATTCCAAGATGAAGATGTTTTAATTGAAATTGTTGATGCAATGGATGAAAATGTTGTGAATGATCTTCTCTCTACAGACTTTACCACCAGTCAATTGAATGCTTGTCATTCATCATTAACTAAAGTTCACAGTGATAACAGTCATGTAGATCTGGCTCCTGCAGATACATTGGCCAAGGAAACTGAAGTTGCCAATAATGATGATCATTTATTAGACGACATTTTTAACTGTTCATGGGAAGATAATGTTTCAGCTTTACCAAACATAACTAAAAATATGCAGTCATTACATCACTCTTTGAACAATCTGAAACGCCCAGTTTCCAAAATGACTTATGATTCTGACTGTACAATGAAAAAAGTGAAAATAGATAATACTGAAAATGATAGTTTTTTGTCTGTATGTTCAAAACCATCCAAACACAGTTCAGATTTTAACAAATCCTGTGTTTCAGCTCTTCTAACCCCAAACACAGAACTGGCTAAATTCTCAAAATTTCAAGATATTTCTGATGATGTTCTCATGCAGTCTGTGAAGAAATATGAAAATCAACCACCTACAAATTCCCAGAATGTCTCTGGAGATTCAAAAATAGAATCATGTTCTGATGCCAAAGACCAATATTTAAATGACAGTGATTGTTCTCATGAATGTGAAATGGCATTGGCTGTTGAAAAGTTAGAAAGTGAAATTTCTGAAAGATTTACCAAACATTCCTGTGGTACCAATAAAATGACTGATCATAATATTTCTAGTTCTTTAGGTAATATGGCTAATTGTCCAAATGACCATTCTCATCACAAATTTACTCTTGGAAATAAAAAAACTTATGAAGTCAACTCTGCTATTAAATCCTTTTCTAGAGAAACCTTAGAATACTTACCACAAGAAAACCACACTAAATCAGATTTGAATAAAAGAAATAACAATTCTTGTAGTGATCAGCAGGACTCCCTTAAACTTTCCAGTGGAAAATTCTCAAATTCTTTTGAAGAGAACAGTATTAATCAGAAAAACTCTGCAACTTCCAATATATATTCTTGTTTCCAAACTGGTCTTGGTCAGAAAGTTCTAGTTTCCAAAGAATATCTCCAAAAGTCCAAAGAAATGCTGAATTCTTTACCTGAAAATAGAAATCAAGACATGCAGCCGAAAGCAATTGCAGCCTTCCAAACTGGTCTTGGCAAAAAAGTTCATGTATCTGAAAAGGCTCTACAAGAAGCACTTAAGACATTAAATAAACAAACACACTGTGAAGAGGGCCAATCTACAAAAGAAACCAAACCTGAAACATTTATTGCTTTCCAGACTGCCCTTGGTAAAGATGTCGCTATCTCTGAGAAATCAGTGAATAAAGTCAGGCAAATTTTTGATGCAGAAAACGAAGAAAAACCAGCTTGTTCTAATGCAAAATATCAACGAAAGGAAACACCCTTTCTTGGAGCAGCTATCAACCACAAGCCAGAGGACTGGGTATATATAAATCCCCAGTTGGACACTAATGAAAATTCAATCCCCTCTACATTCAAAAATTTACAACATGAAACAAACAAAATCCATTTACTTTCCCAGAAAAACAGTAAGTGTTTTTCTTTTTGAAATCTTCTCTTTTTAAGACTAGATTCAATTTTGACAGTATATATCTTTTTTCCCCTAAAATTGCCAAAAGAAAAATGCTGAATCTTATCTACAAAGTTGAGGTAATGGGTAGACTAATATTTACCCATAGATCACTCGTACTTGCACCTAGCTTAACTCCATAATTCTTTAATATTAAATGTAAAAGATAGGGGATGGTTATATGTTCCAAATACAATAATCTACTGCTGACAAAGCTGTAATAACAAAAAATATAAAAACTCATTTAATTTGTTGCATCATTTTATACCTACATAAGTTTTCTAGTTATTTAGTAAGTAGTGCGCTACAAGAGATGAAATTAGGTAAAAGTTTTAATCCTCCATATTCTGATAATGCAGGAAGATAATTTTTTTTTTTTTTTTTAAGAGTCTAATACCAAACATGTTTTTTATTCTTGCTGTTTTTTCTTCTCTTTTTGATCATGTTTTAAGCTGATCAGTTTTTCCAGCCTTTTTGGTGTTTTCTGAAATTCTGCAATGAAGTGTGAATATTGGTCTTAATTGATTCAGCAAATAATGACAATACTTTGCCTAAAATCTTCTGGCAATATTATGAAGGTTGGAGAACCAACTTGTTGAAATATTGTGAAACAACAGGACCACTTTCTTTTTTTTCTTCTCTGCTGCTTGTGAATAGGTTTAACCTAAACAAGATAGATTCTTTGGATCTGTTTGATTGCTTTGATTTTAACCTTCCCTTTCTGATGCAGCAGCATAAGTTTAACCAACATTTCTCCTTTAGTCATTCTCTGAACATAAACATACAAACACTGAACAAATCCATTAGTGTTGCTGCTGATTTCTTTAATGAAATAGCTTTTTTGACTTGGTATGTACCTTTTGATTTAGTTTGTAGTATTTGGTTGGTTCATTGTATATCTGGAGGTTACTAGGCTATCATATGGCTTCTTGTTCTTCAAACCATTTTTCAAGAGACTAAGAGGACTTGTTAGTGACTATTTCCTCTCCACATAACAGAAGAATAAACTTAATGTGAGGATTCAATGAATAATAAAGAGCGACAGATTTTTCTGTCTCTTATTGTTCCATTTCAGTAACAAGATTATAGACAAGCTGACTAGATCATAACATAGGAATGGTTACATTCATGCCTTTATTTGAAGAGCTTAGTGTGAAAGTGATATGTAAACAATCATTTGTATTTGTGTGAAAATGAATATTAACAATTTAAACTTTATGAATATATATTTAAGTAAGATGAGTATGGTCAAATAGGATGAAAAAGAGAAAATTGTTTTTACAGTATTTGAATGGTGAAAAAAAAATTTAAAAGAGAAAAAGATAAAAGCATATGTTTTGTAGTGACTCTAGAAAAAATAAATTGATAGCTAATTTTTGCTAAGAATTTTGAAAAGTTCTTTTTTTTTTCTTGAAGCTGAAGAAGTTGCTTCCCCTGAATTGAAATAAACACCATCTGCTTTGTAATTATTTACATAAATTTATTTACAATAAATAATTATTTACATAAATAAAATAAATTATTATATAATTATTTACATAAATAAATGAAATTTTTAAGTTTTAAATAAAAACAGTCTAATATAGATATTGCATAAATATTTTGAATTTTAAGTACAACAATTATGTATTTTAGCATAAATAAAAATAAAAGAAAATCACTTAAAACAAATTTAAAGCAGTGAAAAATTTTAAAAAAACTATTTTTTCTGGCACATTAGTTTGCATTTCAAGTATAAATCTCACATTATTTTGGTTATTTTTTGCCTTTAGAACATAATGAAGAATTAAAGCTTTCCTTTAAATAAATTATTTACATTGTGATAAATTTTTTAAAAATATAAAAATGTTAATTCTGAGTTTAAAAAATCAGTTCATATCTAAAAGCTATAAAAAAATTTCTCAGATAAAATATTTTTGATTTTAGATAAAATAATGTATTTTTATTTCTAAGTTTTTGTTTGTCTTTAGATAATAAGTCACTCACTATCAAATAAATGTGAGTTTCTTTTTTCTTCACAAGAATAAAATTCCCACTCAACAACTAAGAAAAAAATTTGTAAATAAGAATCATTTGCAAATGCCCGTTCTGAGATAAACTATTGTTATGATATCAACCTAATAACCTCATGTCTGTTTTTTTTTTTTTTTTTTTTTTATCACTGCATTTCAGTTGATGCCTTCTTTGTCTGTACTCATATTGTTGGTTGTTAGATTATTATATTATTTTTATTTTTTATTATTATTTTTAGAATTTATTTCTTAAGGTTCCCAACTGAGAAAAGAAGCATATATTATTTATCCCAGCATTCCATATGCCATCAATTGTTTTGTTTCTAATTTTTGTTAGTTCATCCAATACAAAGCAGAAGGGTCACTCAAGGTAGAGGGTCACTGTTCAGCCCCTCCATATTACACACATACCTAAAAACAGCCAGATAAATGCCTTAATGCAATTAAGACTCTGAAGACAAACTACTGTTTATTGGCAGGTTTATTAAAAGCCAAAAGTGTAAAACTAGAAAAATAAATAAATATGATTAGTTTAACAAACAAAAAGGTAACAAGGAATATGACAAAAGCAGCAAAAGGATTGGACATAGAAGTAAGACCTTTTTTGTAAAAGAAGATAACGAATGTTTTGTCTACATGAATATGTATAAAGTTTGCTACAGGAATACATTTCAGTGTTGCAGTGTAAGTTCATAGAAAGGTAGGAAGTTACATGAAGGTTACATTTGGGATTCTTCATGCAGAGATACAAACATAAAATAAAGATATAAAAGATGGCTACATAAAGTAGGCTAAAATAGAGAGAAAAGACTTTAAAAGTTACTTGGTTACACTGGGGATAAAACTAGAAGGATGAGAAAACTAAAAATCATGTGTTTGGGCAACTGCTTGTACTGTATAGTTTCCAGTAATAATTAAAGGCTAACAGAAAGTGGTCAAAAACAGTGTGTAACCTAAAAAGTATCTAAACTAAAAAAGGGACAAACATAGGAGAGGTAAGCCAATAGATTTGTACTCTGGTAACAACAATTTACTGAGTGAGTCTGTTGTAAAGGAGGAAGTAAGAAATGCATATTATAAGGACAGGTAGGATAAGTGTTGCAGAGTGGAGAATAATTCACACAAGGTTAGACAGTGATGACAGGGTGGCACCAGCGAAGATATGATAGCAGTACTCCATTCTTAGTCTGATCTGACCTTTGTAAAGATGAAGCCTAGCAGCAGGAGTTAGCTACTTTCAGGATCGATACAAGGAACTGACCAATTTGGCCTACAGGAATGTGTTTAATAAGAGATTATTTTACTAAAAAAAAAAAACAATAATTTCAAATTTGTCAGATATTCATTCAATGTGAATGTGGACACATCTTCATTTTCTTTAAAAAGAATAAGTGATTTTATTGATGCAAGAAAAATTTATCTTTTGTTTGATAGGGACTTTTAACTGATAGTGTTCAGTTGACAAACATTGACACTAAAATAATTTTAAATTAGATTTCTAAAGTGTGTTTGCACAGAATTTTTATCTATATACTTAAAATGGTTAGTTATGTTTCAATTCTTTCTTACAGATTCCATATCTTGGCAACCTAGCATGTCAACACCAGAATCAGATCGCCCAGGAATCTTCCCATTATTTACTGATCCTGTGGGTGAGTTTAAAACAGATATTTTCAAGACAATATATTGATGGATTTCACAGATACATATTGTTTGTAATCAATGATTCTTTCATACTAACATCTTTGTCTTTTTTGTTTTTTTACTCAGTTCACTTTGCAGGCTTTCCAGGATATATTGCATTTTCTAACTTTCAGTTATTTTGTCCAAGGTTGGGAGAGACATGTTCTCACCACTTGTGTTAAGCAATATATAACTCCACACGATTGATAGAAGAGTAAAGTGATACAAGAATGAAACAAATAGAAATTATTTTTTGTGCTGAAACAGCCCTGTAGAAGCAAGCGAGCCAGTGGCTTGTATCTGGTGCATAGGAAGATAAGGGTCTTACCTTAACAGGTGACATGTGACATCAACAAGTTTGCCCTGTGAAAATGGCATTACTCTCCTGTCTAGCAGTATGTGCAGTAACGAGGGTTTTTGTACAGTTTGGCATGCTTCCACCAATAGTAAGTCGTGTGCTGATTAGTCGAATTGGAGGAGGCTATTTGCCTGGGTAACGGAGGGGGTGAAGAACGCTGATTGGCTGGTTGACTGCAGTGTTGGCCTGACAAAAGAGGGCTGAAGCAGTGAAAACGAGAGAAGAAAAGACGGATATATGTTGTGACGTGTTCAGAAAGCAAGGACAACGAATTGAACCAGTGGTATCTTGATTTGACATCATAGCAATACAGACTTATTTAAACAGTTTTCAAGTTCAAATCCCCTCAGCATGCAAAAAATCAAAGAGTAAGAACAACACCCTTCTTGATGAAATAAAGGTTCTGCTACAAGCTTAGTGAATATTACTAAATTTGAATGTTTGTTACCATGACAAAATAAAAATAGCACAGTGTAGCATAATTTTTTGTAAGAATAATTATTTTTCAACACAGTATGGTTACTAGTTTTCAAATAATAATTAAGTTTAAAATAACCAGTAAAATCCTTCTTCAATCTCTCAATAACCTTATCTTTATTAACTTCTAATTATAGCTTAATTTCCTGTCTGCATTTAACTCCATCAACTATTGCAGTATACAAGTCATGTTATCTTCATAATAATTGATGATGGTGATGATAATAATAATAAAGCTTAGGAAAGATTAGCACCATCAGAAACATTTTGATAAAGATAACAATAATGTGGATGCTAGTGCAAAAAATAAAAATCATAAAATCAAATTGACTAATTTTAAGGACAAGGATAATTTTTAAAATCTTGTTTATATATAATCAGTAGATGATAAACAAAATGTCTTGTTTTTGTCAATATTTCATCAGCATTTGTTTCCATTTTTCCGTTGCAGCGAATATTGTAAATGAAAGTGATTTTCTCAATATTTTTATGTAAAATAAAATAAATGTCTTAATTGGAATAAAAGACACCTGATATATGAGAAGAAAATAGAATAAATAAAGCAAAGTGAAAAGAAATAGTTGTCACAAAATGAAAGCTTCAAGGAGACATAAGTCAAACCAAAAAGTAATCCAGTCTATTGATGGATTATTTACATGTGGACTATTTTCCTCATCACAACATTTTGGCAGTATTCTCCAGCCTTCATCAGGTACTTGTTGATTCAGTCAACCTTCAGGGAATTTCAAACTGAACCCTTTATTTAAATCTACAGTAGTAAATTGTTCTCATACTGCTGCCCATGTCTAGGGATAGGTCTCATCTATTTCTTATTTAGTGCTGCTCAGTTGTTGCTTGCTCTTGAATCCAAGTACACACTGCCTGGATCAAGGATTGAACTCACAGTTACTATATCACCAAATTCATGAAGTAATGTTTTAATCCACTAGACTATTGTCCCATGGGAAAATTCTTAGTGAAAAACTTAAACCTAACCTGCTGCTTGAATGCACTCACTGAGGCTTCTCTTTTTGCTGCTGTTGAGCTTTACTGTCATTTCTCTTTCTTTATTAACAGCTTCCATATCCTGTTTATGTTAGACCTACTCAGGAGGTCCTCATAACCTAGCATATGTGCTGATTCTTTCAGTGTTACATTGCTCAGAGAAGAAAGCTAGTATAGAATAACCCTTTCCTAAGGCTTTACTGAACTCAATTCACAGCAGTCAGTAATCAACAAAGGAAGAAGAACACAGCTTTTAAAGAGGAATGGGGACGGTGAAAAGTCACGTTGCCAGGGGGAGAAATTGTAAAAATGGCTTACCTCGAAGCGCGTTCGAATGAGGATGTATGCAAACTCTGGTCCTTCCAAGGTAGAAAAGAAAACAAATGGCGGTGCCCACGTTTTATGCTATTTTTTCGGTTTGTTAACGCCAAATTGTTGCCAAAGTGATTCGCAGATGCAAATCGTGGTCAGTCATGGCTAAAGGTATAAAGCAGGCTCCATTTTTGCTGTTTCAGATCAGAGGGCTTTCAGCTGGTGAGAAGGTTGGACGTTGACATCGGTTTTCTTTATATTTACCTGCTATCATCAGTTGAATTGTTCGTTACACCACACATGTGGACAGTAAAGCTAGTTTTTTTTTTTTATTCTTTATAAAAAATATAACATTCTCCCCACTTGCAAAATAGATTGTAATTGAAAAGTTTATAAATCCAGTCGTTGGATTGGTCTCTTAATCCTGCTAGACCTGGCGAGAGGTAGTTCACCACTGGAAGAGCCAGACCTCTGAGAAGGCTGACTTTCAGGATTCTGGCTATTATTCACAGATTCATTTTCTGTAGAAGGTGAAGAAATATTAATGGGACCTGCATCAGGCAAAAGGGTTGAATCTGCATGGTCCACGTCGGGTTAAGTATTTTCAGGTCCATTTGAGGTCCATCTGGGCGTGGAAAAGCGCCAACCGTCTCAGCCACCGAATCATCCCGCCATCATCAATAATGTCATTTTGGCATGGGGAGGGTTGGCCTCAAGGAGTTCCACCACCTCAACGATAGGGTCATATTTACTTCTGCCATCGAATCATTTTAATAATACCTCCCCAGGCTCACAGAGCCAAACAGGCAACGCAGTACCGATTGGAGGACCGCCTTTCAAATTGAACATCTGAGTGGGGGTTGCATTGAGTGGGTAGCCAAGGAGCCGATAACATTTAACACATCATGTAGAACATCCTGCCAAGCACTAATTGGTAACTGTTTCGATTCCAGGGCCAATAATATGGTATTCCAAATTATGCCGTTGTAACGAGGGCATTGGCTATTGCCTCTAGGGTTATAAGAAGTAGTATTACTGCATCCAATTCAAAGTTTTGTTAGAAATTGTTTAAATTCTCCTGACATAAATGAAGTTCCTCGATCAGAGTGAATGAACGAGGGAAGCCGAAAATACTTGCCAGGCACTGAATAGCAGTTTTGCGAGAGCAATCAATGGCAAGGAAAGGCAAAGGAAATCGACTATATTTTTAATTTGACAGTAAGTATATATCGGTAACCTGTCAGGGATACGGGACAGGCCCTTGTAGTCTATGGAGATGCTGAAATGGCGAGTAGAACGGATCAGAACATTACTAGCAGAATTGAAGAATTGGGGTTTTATTTTGGCACAGGTCGCATATTCAGAATGATACGTCGGGACTTCATCAGCGAATCAGGCATATTCTGAGACCTTACAAAATGCCAAAAGTTTTGTACCCCAGGATGTATTAAGGAAGATGTATTGATTTAAGTTCCTTCAAGGAAGAAGCACCATACTCTGGATAAGGTATCCGCAACTGTGTTTTCATTTCCAGGACAGTGTTTTATGTCGTATGAAAAGGGAAGAAGTTCCATTTTCCACCTTATAATTTTATTGTTTTTAATTTTTGATGACATTAGAGGTTTAAACATAAAGGATATGGCTTGCTGATCAGTAATAATAGTAAAATGTTTTGTAGCAAGGAGGTCTCCATTTACAAAGCGCATTGACTATAGCATATGCTTTTTTTCAACTATATGAAATGTATTTCAGAGGGTTTAGCGACCGAAAAGAATGTTTGAGATGACAGAATCAACTTGTAAAAGAGTGCCTCCAATAGCCTTTTCTGAAGGCATCGGTTTCAATAGTAAATGGCAATTCATCATCAATAACTTTTACAGATGACTCGCAATGTCTTAAGTTTTTCAGAAAAGAATTTATAACTATAGGAGGCATGGGGAATTGTTTATTTTTCGACCAGTGGACGAATTTTGTGTGAATATTTAGGTATCCATTTCGCATAGTAAGCAAACATACCAAGACAATTTTTTTAACGAATTTGAGTCGGAAGGAGGAGGCATTTGTAAAAGTGGCTTCAAACGCTGAGGATCGGGTTGGATAGTTCCATTATAAATTTGATATCAAATGCGTTAATAGAGTAGCGAAAACTCTGATTTTTCGGTTTATTTCAAGGTTGTATGTCGAGAGGCAGCCTTTAAAAACATTCAAATTGATGTCATGCTCCTCCTGGGTTTTCCAAAGCAAACAGTTATATCATCTATATATGAAAAGGTTCCAGATAATTTGTTATCAGAAATGAAAAAATTCATAAATCGCTGAAAGGCAGAAACCCCATTAGTAACACGCATGGGTATTCATTTAAATTGGTACAGGCGGTTTCCAAGCTTGAAAAGATTATAGGGGCAATCTTCAGGGCAAATTTCAATCTGATAGTACACTTTGGACAAGTCAATTATACTATAGATACGATACTGGGCTATTTGGCTTATGAGATTTTCAATTCGAAGCAAGGGGTAGGCATTCCAAAAGGTGAACCGATTAATAGTCTGGGAGAAATCGACTACCAATCGTTTCTTTTTATTAGGTGACGGTTACAACAATTTGAAACGCCACGGAGAGTAACTTGTTACAATTATATCATCCTCAAGCAGTTGTAGAATTTTTTTTTCAATGAACCAAGCATCCTCCATAGTAATTTGGGATTTAGTAGCAATAGGTTTTGCAATCAGGGGTCAAGTTTAGGAACAACTTAACAGGAGCACAACTGATCTTGGTTAAGTGTCATGAATTTTTAGAATATCCTGAGATCCACCAAAAAAATAGTGATACTCTGGTGTAGTTTTAAGAAGGGCACTCCAGTATAATAAAAATACAGGAATCAGGAAGTACTGTAAAGTCAATTTGTTTATATTCATAACCATTGAAGATAATGTTCTCAGTACAATATTCAGATAGTTTGAGGAAATGGCAGATGAAGCCATGGAAATTTTTTTTTCCGTTTAGAAGTAGACAGTTTCATTGTTTTTTAACAATACGGGCACTGATAAAGTTATCAGAACTACCGGTGTCTATGAGGGGCAGTTAATCTCTTTTTCCTTTTAATTCTAAAGTTTTAGTAACTGGAGGAGACCTATCACCGTCTTTAGCTTACGGGCTACTATAATAGCTGAAGTAGAACTTGAAGGTCACCAAAATGGTAGAACGGCAAACTTTAGAAAAATGACCGAGTTTGCCACAGTTTCAACATATCTTATCACGGGCGGGACAATAGTTGACGATTATCCTTAAAGTGACGTTTTCCTCCACAGTTGTGTTGACTTATACGAGCATTTTCAAGACACCATCAGCAGACAATTGTACAGTGTCACACTCTGTCACGAAATCAGTTAAGTCTGAAAGCATTTTTTAGTAATAGTAGTGGAAGTGGCCTCCTCGGCAGAATCAGTAAACACATTTTTAGTCCTATGGTAGTAGCAGCAGTTGATCCAATCTGAAAGTGTATGACTCAGCCACGAAAGTGAGCCTGTTCTAAGGCTCTAACATGGAGTAGCCCTTGAGTTAGCGTATCATTTTCAAGCAGTCTGGACGTATTACGAGGGACGGAGACCACATATAAATGCATACGGACAGATTCATCCCTGTAAACAGTAGCAGTAACATCTTGGAAGCAACAGTCAGCAGCAAGTCGATTAAAGGCCTGAAGGTATTCAAAACAGACTCATTTTCCTGCTGCAGACGATATAGACAACAAATGTCTAGTGTGAAGATAACGCGGAGACTTGTCATAAACAATTCAACAGCATTTTCAAATCCAGAACAACCCTCGATAACATCAGCAGCGGTAGCACCGATGTTTAAATAAAGGACTTGAGTTTGTCCGGGTTTAAAGAAGCAATAGTTGATAAGTAATAATTAAAATTACGGTACCATAGTCTCCAGAGCTTGCTAGCCTGAGGGTCTGAAGAAGATATATCAAACTTGTCCAGATGAATAATCTTGTCCATGAGGAATTACGTTGAGTAAATTGTTCGTTGCTCAGAGAAGAAAGCTAGTATAGAATAACCCTTTCCTAAGGCTTTACTGAACTCAATTCACAGCAGTCAGTAATCAACAAAAGGAAGAAGGTCCAGCTTTTAAAGAGGAATGGGAGCGTGTGAAAAGTCACGTGGACAAGTAAAAGCTAGTTTTTTTTTTTATTTTCTGCAAAATAAACATCTGACTCTCCAGTAGTGTTTCTGTCCAGTGTTTTTCATTCATTTCATGACCCCCTTTCCTTCATTCATAATCATTGTAATAGTTCAGTCCCAGGGCCAGGCAGTGTGTACTTGAACTCAGTACTGAGCAGTACTAAATAAGAACTAGAAATGGCCAGTGAAATGAGAACAATCTACACCTGTAGATTAAAGGGTTCAGTTCAAAATTCCCTGAAAGTTATCCAGATTGACAAACACCTGATGATGGCCAAAGAACACAATGACTGAAACATTGTGATAGCAACAGCAACAAAAATGAGGACAATAGTCCACATGTAAATAATACTTCCTCATCCCAGAAATTCAAATATGCCATGATTATTGACTTGCTACTCAGAATTTTTGCATTTGATTCTAATTTCTTCCCTTTTGTAGAAATTCATTCAGACCAAAAGTTCGCATCTAAAAAGCATTCTTTTTCTGACCTTGTTTCATGGAACCTATTAGATACTGAACAGAGGTAAGTATCTTATTTCTCATCTGTTCCCCTTCAGATTTGGCCTCATAACTTTGTTCTGTATAATTAAAAAGAAATAAAATAGGAAACGTTTTTCTTGCTCTCCATAATGAATTTTTGTTTTAGATTTGATCAGCCAGTTGCTCATTGTCCATCACTGAATCATTTCAGTTCTGTTTGCTTGACCTTACAGTGACATAGTTTCCTAATTTTGAACATCAATAAAATATTTTTCCATTTTTCTGATGAGGGTAACTACTTTTTCAAAATCCTTATTTTGAAAATCATTTCTCAATGAAATTAATTTCAAACAGAAAATTAAAGAAAAATCAAGATTCAAGACCATTCATATTTGTGAAAATCTGACTTGCACATCTTGTCTAGAAAAGAAGCTTAATGATTCAGGTAACCTACTGTGCAATAAGAAAATATTATCTACCATAACAATTTTAATTTTTGTCATTCATGCCACAAAACAAATTTGTTTAAGTATATTAATCAATAGTTATTAATATATCTTTGTTTCTAATATGTACCTTTTTAGTTATTAAAAACTTTCAAATTTATATCTTCATTGAAAGGAAATCAATGTTTCTATGGTGTATCAAGGTTTTATGTTGAGACACACTCGGTTTATGATGTAATATCACAATATCTTATGTGGTCAGTTATGTGGTTATAGGTCTATGATTCTACCACAATACTTTTGTACAACTGGTGATCAACTTAGTAACTCAGAAGAGTGTTTATAAAAGTGAACCAAATCAGTTGCATCATGTCTGTTTCCACTGCTTTCTTGAGACTAATATACTAAAGTTGTACTGTCACTGCCTCTTTGCTGAAAATCAAATTAGATATCTTTTTCACTGAGAGGAAGCTTTCTTGTGTCAATCAGCACAATGCATATAGTCTGAATTGACTGCTTTTATTGCCCTTATTAGATGAACTTTACAGTAAAAGAGAGAGAGAGAGATAAGAAAGTAAAAGAGAGAGAATTCCACTGTTTTTTGTTCATTAATTCTTAACAGCTTTTCTTAACATGTTTGCTAAGAGGCAAAAATTCTCACTGAAAAATTTTTAGGAGAAACTTATTTCATAAGGAAATCTCATGTTCTTTCCCTAATTGATAATTCACAATTCATGGTTGAATGTAAAAGCAAATGAAAGGGCAGCAACATCTGCTTTGATATGCAAAACCTTTTTTTAAATCTTCTCTTTTATTTCCAATTTCTGAATTTCACAAATATGATACTTAATTGCAACCATCCACTGACCCTATCAAATTTCATTCTCATAGTGAAGATAATTGTTTTCAACTCTTTATCGTTTTTTTTTTTTTCTTTTAAGGATTTTCATGTATTTTTGAATCTTCTGAACTCTAGAGTATCAGATATTTAAGTATTGTATTTCATAAATACCATATATTGGATTAATTACATTATTCTGACTATTGTCCTCATCTTTGTTACCATATTTATCACAACATTTCGGCTGTTGTACGCTCCGGCCTTCTTCAGGTGGTTGGAATGTCAAACTGAACCTTTTATTTCGCTCACTGTGGTAGACTGTTCTAGTTCCACATGCCACCGGGTATTGAACTCACACTCTTTTGGGTCCTGTCACTGGATCTAACCAACGCCTTTATCCACTGTGCCATGTGTCCTCGAGGACATCTGGGTACCCGGTTAAGGCAGTGGAGAACTTTCAAAGGGAAATTAACAGGAAATACCTGATAACTGACATCCATCAAAACATGTCACGTGGAACTAGAACAGTCTACCACAGTGAGCGAAATAAAGGGTTCAGTTCGACATTCCAACCACCTGAAGATGGCTGGAGTGTACAACGGCCAAACGTTGTGATAAATATGTCGACAAAGATGAGGACAATAGATGATCAATTGTAACAAGGAATCTCTGTTTATTTGATGGATGAGAGCAGTTTTCTTCTCCACAAGATGAAGCATCTTCCTGTTTTCAATGTGATATCAAGCCTTAATAGAACAGTTCCAGAGGGATGGCTTCGACAAAATGGCACTGTTGATTAGGAGCTACTTTTCTCAGGTTTAACAGTGATTGATTTTGTTTTATAGGGAGACCATAAAAACATTTTTTCCTCAGTCCCCAATTAGGTCCTGTAACCCAAAAGAACTGTCATCAATCACAAAATCTGATGTTTGCAACTCAGTCTCTATACAATCCATCTTTGTTATGGTAGAAGGACATTTTGAACAAGCATCACTTAAACTTAAAAAAATATAAAACATTTCATTTAAAGTTTTATTATTTATATATATATATATATATATATATATATATATATATATATATATATATATATATATATATATATAATAAAAGGCTTAAACACTAATATTCCATGGTCATAATTTATTCCATTGGAATCATTAAATACAATCAATTCATCAGACCTACAAATTCAAAAAGAAAACAGAAAAAAAACAACTCCGGAAATAAAACAGAATTTAGAAAGAGTGTAAGTATGAGGAGGAGGAGGGAGATTAAACCTTAACAGAGAGAATTTTAGAAGAGATGGATGGAAGGGGTTTAATTAAGAGAAAAAAATGAATGACTAATGCATAAAGATACATTTCGTGGTGACATACACACACCATAGACAATCTAATGTTAGAATAAGAGGGAGGGAAAGACTAGGTGGG